AAAAAAAAAAAAAAAAAAAAACATCTTAGTAAAACCAATACCTTCTCAGCTTCGCATCGAAGCTAAAATGTTGAGCAACTAAACAACACTAGGTGACATGAATACAATTAAGTTTAATACGCGAGCATGGCAATGCGTAAAAAGAGATTCTGGTACAATTTTTTCAAATGTGATTGAAAACCGTTATAACTCCCGTTAATTTTAGCAGCATCATCAAGTGACTCTCCAATCAAATTAGTTAAAGAAATATTTAAGGGTTCTAATTCTTTATTTATTACATTATACATTACTTTTCTTATACCACATTTTCATTCATGGTTAAAGTAATCATTCACTCATAAATTTAAAATGATTATTTTTAAAAAATGTTTTGAAAGTTATCAATACCTAAAATAAAAACCTTTGATATATGCCTTACAAAATAAATACATATCTTGAGGTGTTAATATATAATCGTTCGATAACTGTTGTAAGGTAGCTTTATGGAGTTATCTTTTGATATTTCCACTAATACCATCGCAAGGAATTTTTCCATGGGCTATAACAAAGAAATTCCATTCTACTTTTATATTAAAATCATGCTCGTGTTAAAGCAGATTAATAATATTTTTATAGTTTTGTACAGACTGCTTGTTCCATTAGAAAAGTAATGAATTAAGTGCACATTAAGTAAATATGTTTTTATTCGATTGATTAAAAAACTTTAAAACACGTAAACTGTTTTGATATTATATTTTAAGTGATCACTAATTGAATATTAACTTTTTATTTCCAACATATTATAATTTTGCATACAGTTTATCGAAAAATAATGTAATGTTAAGAGTTCACACAATAGTAATCAATTTCAACTTAAACGTTAAAAGTTGAGTTTTCATCAAAATACCATCAAATAGTATATTAATTTACTAAAAGTGTTTTTCGATTAAATACGCAGATTGAGCTTTAGCGATAACACGGTACTTCTTTAAATTTAATTTGATTTATCCGATGCCTTTCCGGATAGAATTTTGTGTTTATTAAAAATATTACAATAAGATCTACTAAATAATGAAAAATAATTGTCCAAATATTTTTTTTCATGGTACTCGCATTTGGTATTTAATTATTTGGAATGAATTCTCAATCCAATTAAAATATTTTATCAATAAAACATAAATAACTAAAAAAAAAGTTTTTTTTTTTCAAAATTGCAAATATTTGCAAAATTTAAATATAACTTTTTTTATTGGTCATTAATAAAAAAAATTTCTATATGGAAAAAATACTCTTAAAATCCTACTAGCTTATGGTTTGTTCAATAGTAAGGAATTACCTCATAGTATTGTAGTTATCTAGAAGTGATTATGCCTATAATAAAATGATAGCCCGATTATTTGTTAGGGGTATTTAATTAAATAGGCCTACCGTAATTTTCTCGGTAACTCGCCTAGCCTATCTAGGCCTGCTTCTTAGTATCATTCCTCATTATTTAAGTAGTGTCTACTTTATTTATTTAAGTAACAATGTACATACTCAACTAGCTTATAAAAAAGATAATGATCTAATTGAGAAAATAACGGGTCGATAATAATCATTGAACCAGTATTTTGGAAGTTATGAACATGTTATATTGATGACTGAAGGTCAGCACGGGTGTTGATTTTTTTATCACTAGTCAATTATCGGCTGTACTCTTCCTCTCGCCATAATAAAAAATTATAAAATTTGAAATACTAATTCAAAATTTGTTATTGATTCGTCCGTTTTTTACAATTTTATAGTTTATATTATTTAAACTTGTTGAATAAATGTGTAGTTATACGAAAAAATAAAGTGGACACATTTATAAGGTGTAAGGGATGAACATAAAATAAATTCTATGATTAATATATTGAGAAAAAACTGTACCTAAAAGAAAAAAAAAATCAATATTACTTTTTATATTTCATTTAATTAAGTGGTTTATAATAAATAAATCACCTTGTACATAAATAAACAAAAATATAAATTTTCTATTAAAACTTTTTTAATAAAATTTTTGAATCAAATTATTGTTACAGTGGTAACACTGTAACGGTTTTTTAATACTTATACTATTCTTGGGTTTTGAGTTAATAAATGTACTTATTAAATGGTTCCATACCATCAGGATATTTAATTAGTAAGTCTGAATCATCATCTATCATTTCACAATTGACATCTAATTTTAAACAAAAATGAATAATTAAAAAAAGAGTTGTAAAATAATGTTCTGTATTGATTTAATAAAACAATAACACATTATTTTATAACCGTAGTGACAAATTTCAAAAAAAAAAATTTCGGTTTTGTATGGTATCGCGAGGAAGTTAAATGATAACTTTATTTATAACTAATAAAAAAAATTAAATTGATCCATACATTTTTCAAAAAGTTATAGCATAATAAAGTTAAAAATGTAAAATACAAAATCGAATATTTTCACACAAAAATAGCATTCGCTAGCCATTTTCACCGTGAAGACATATTAAAGTACGAAATTTTTTTTTTGCATAATAAAGTATAATACATTAACTTTAATTTAAGATATATATAAAAGTGTCAGACTTTCCAGAACACTTTTAAAAGTTAAGTTGAAAAAATTAATTTTTTGTAAAAAAGTTGTCATTTTAAATCCCCCCCTGTGGGCAGGTAAAAAGTCAGATTTATAAAAAAAATATACCAAATGATAGGTAAAGACATCATGCATCTATAAAAAAAATAATTATATTGATTTGGTTATTTTAAAAAAGTTATGGCAATTTTAAGTAAAAAAAATTTCGAAAATTTCGAAAATTAGCGTTTTTTAAACTTGTAATTTTTTCGGAGGTTTCCCCCATTTACGGGGAACGAGGGATTTTTTTTCAATTTTTGAGGGCAATGTCTTTGACTAGATACGATTTGTGATCTTTTGACGTATTATTGAAAGAAATCAGTTCGGTGACAGCTGAAAAAAAATCTGGTAACAGACACAAAAAAAAAAAAAAATAAATAAACACATCTTAGTAAAACCAATACCTTCTCAGTTTCGCATCGAAGCTAATATCAAATGCGAAGTTAAAACTTTTAAACATTCTGGTTTCGCGATGGAGGATATCTCTATTTATAACAATAATTTATAATACAATATTCTGGAATGATTAAAGTATATACTTGAATGAAGTAGCAATAATTTTCACATAGAAAGAAGTCCTAAAAGGAAATAATGAACTAGAACTAATTACTTTTCTATGAAAAATTACCTTACTAACCAATTGTAGACACATTATGAAATATCATTATAAATATTTTTTTCTTTTATGTTTTGTATACTATCTAGCAATAGCCTATGATAAAAATTAAAATAAAATATTTTTCCGTGCAATTTCGTATTTAAAGAATATAATATGTTATATATACTATATAATGATTAAAAAGTAAAGAAAAATGTATTTATTCTAATTTTTTATAAGAATTCACCTACTTTCCTACTTATTATTTCTAAACATATTCAAATGGCTCTTAGGTCAATTAAAAACTTATTTAGAATAAAAATTATAGTAATGTTGAGAATTAGAGATAATTTACCATTTATTTTTTGCGTATCTACTTCATTGGTATTTCGTATCAAATTTATATCAGAATTTTGTGCGATATCTAAATATATTAACAACAAATTATTTCAAATAAATGTAACATTGCATAAATAGTTATACCTTGCTTGACATTGGTAGGTGGTAGAGCTGGTAAAAAAGTTTGACTTGTGTTCCAGTCATATTTAAATCCAAGTTCAATATACTTTTTCATGATTGTCGTTAGGATTAAATTTCTAATTTTATCACTAAGAAAAATGAAAAGTTCTTGACATTTTCCTTGATATCTTAATTTGTTGAATTCTGTATTCCATGAATTCCATAATGAATTAAAATCTAAGTGTTTTAGCAGACAAAATGACTTATCTTCATCAATTTTAAGATGCCTTGCGGTTAATATTTTTGCGATAGTCTCTAGTACATCTCTAATTGAATCCGAACTGATTATCAACGTAGACAATAAAGTTTCATCTTCCTGTATTTTTGTTAGTAAACTGCTTAAAATAAAACGGGTTTTTTTTCGGGTGTTCAAGAAATTATTGTGATATATTTGTATAGCATATAAAGCTCCATTCATACATTTTGCCATTGGAACAATTTCTCTCATTTGTGTTAAAAGTGTGACCGTACAATTTGGCGCACTATCATCGCCAGAATTTAATAGATCAAAACAATGTTGTTGAAATTTAATTAATGATAAGTATATTAATTTTAAATCATAAATGTAAGAACATCCAAGAAACAACGTTGCTTGCCGTATGCAATTATCACAATTATTTGATGTTACAGGTTTAATAAATAAATTTTTCAATTCATAGTTTTTGCCCCAATACTTAATTAATTTGACATCATTTATATTGTTCCAACCTGGTTGACGTAGGAAATTAATAATGATAGCTGCGGTTTCTTTTTTACAATGTGTTCCTTCAGTATGTAAAAAAGCGAAAAACATAAGTACACTGAATATTTAGTATTATTGCAATATTCATTTTCGAAAAGTTATTAACCTATTTGAGTTTTTATGCGAAGCTGAGAAGATATTAATTTTAACTGATGTGTTTTTTTTTATGTATTCATTTTTTTTTTTGTGTCAGTTAACACTTTTTCTCAGCTCTTACTGGAATGATTTTTCTGAACGATATGTCAAAAGATTACAAATAGTATCTAGTTGATGACGTTACACACAAAAATTAAAAATTTTCCGTCGTTTCCCGTAAATGGTGAAGATCCCCCAATAAATTACGATTTTTAAAATCGGTAAACTTTGACATTTTTTTTTTCTTCAAAAAATTGCTGTAACTTATTAAAAAATGAAATAATTAAAAAACTGTTTTGTATTGAAACCCTAGATATTTCCCTTTCATTTGATATAATTTTTTTGAAAATCCCAATCTTTACCTTCAACGGGAGGAATGCACTATATAAACTAATGCATAATAATTTAACTTTTTCAACTGAAGTTGGGAAATAGTTTCGAAAATACTCCGAGCTTCAAACATATGTTAAAATAAATCTAATGTTATTCACTAAATGTTAAAAAAAAAAATTTATCCCAACGACAAAACATGTAATTTTGGTCTTAAAATTTACGATTTCATATTTTATTTTTTCAACTTTAAATTACTATTACTTATCGAAAAATGTATGGATCAATACAATTTTTTTATGATAAATACTATTTATATCCCTCATTTATTCAACATAATTTTTTTAAAATAACACCATTCCCCTTTATATAAATATTTATATATTACACTTGTAATCAGGATATAAATAAGAAAATTGGAGATCATTTTGCTTTTGGAAAAATCAACCAAGTTTTTAAAATACAACATCATCTAGAGATTTGCATCGAAGCGTTTTTTATGATCGTGATTTTAATCACTGTCAGATATCATTATACTTGACCAAACTATGCTACGTCACCACTGTGCCTCAACACCACTGTACTGGATTTTTTTTGTAACAAGTTGCTATATAAATCATTTCTCAAAAATATAATTTTTAGTTTCGCCTGAATTTTACAAAAAAATTTTACAATTATAATCAAATTCTATAATACACTCAATTGAGTTAATACTTTTAACAATTTTATATTAATTTTTTTAGTTGAAGTAAAATATAAAAATTAATTAATTTCTGAATATTTAAATTTGTCAAAGGTTAATTAGAAATGATTAATATGATTGAGATTTTGTGATAAATTTACAGTAAATAGTAATTTTTAAATTTCCTCACTGCATATTAATCCTAACAATAACATTTTTTTAATTTTTGTATTTAATAATGTCAATTTCAAACTTACTTATTGAGCTAAAAGTTATGGTAATAAATAAATTTTTTTTTATTGTAAATTTTTAAAAAACAACTTTAAAAGACTAAAAAAATAGGTTAAAAATGACATTTTACACTGATTATTTTTAACATATTAAAAATCAAAATTAGTAGAAATTTGAAAAAAAATTTTGTTTTTGTTTTAATTATTTTTTATGTGTAAATACTTATTTTTTAATATTTATTAAAAATTAAAAGTGATGGAAAAAGTCTCATTTCAGAATTCAAAAGTATTGCGCAAAGTTGTATTAGAAAAGTATATTTTTGATTCTAATAAAATTTCCTTGTAAACCAGAGTAGTTATCCATAAGTAACAAACATTTTTGATAGAAAAGTATTCCATCAAGCCCTTTAAATTTTTATACACTTTAAAAGTGAAGAAATATATAACTACTTTATTATTTTTATAATATCTCCGAAAACATCCACGTTATCAATTTTTTTTCATAAACCATTAATTCAAGCTCAATAATCAAAATGTTGAGAAAAATAGTCTTTAGAGTCGAATTTCACAAAATAATTTTTTTTTTTATGAAACTTATTTTTATTTGGTATGCACTTCAATTCATTACCAAACATTTGTTTGGGGGAGATAGGTAATACATGCCCCTAGAATATACATAAATATAATATATAAAATTATAATAAATTATTATTATAAAAATAATTATTGTGATAATATTATTATATTAAATATAACATATTAAACACTTAATATATAGAATGTAATTTAAATTATTTTGGCTTTCGTTCATATCGCTGAGTAAATTTTGTATTTTTCCATAAATTATGGACAAAATATTATGAATGAGTATATCGCATTCTAATTTTAATAGTATATTATGAATAAATAAAAGTATTCTAGCAGTGGCGACTCGTGGCTTGGACAACGTAACGATCGCACCCCTTACTAAAATTAATTAGAAGAAAAAATTAATTGTACATTCTTAATTCTACATTTTTATGAAAAATGCAAATTTTTATATAGTAAAATAGTTATAATACATTTGTCGTATGCGAACATTAAAGTTGTTTCCCTCAATATTTGCCGGTACGCAGACACACACGAGCAGTGTTTGGACGACCGACAGTGTCGTTCGAGTAATACGCAGAAACGTATACTACTAGCGACAAACGTGTACGTGCGGTCACAGTTTAGCTGCGATTTTATGTACAGGTTTTGGACGACAGACAGCGTCGTCAATACAGTAAAATATTAGTATTTTACTATATTGGGTATTTTATTTTTAGAATTAATTACGTCGTCATCGTTTGCTATAATAATATAATCGCTATTATTATTATTTTCATTTCTGTTTTCTACTGCGACTTTAAAATAATAATATGTGTATTGTCTTTTATTTTATTATAATTAATTCGACAATTTTTTATACTTATAACTAGCGGTATTATATTTAAAGTAGCACCAACGAGCCCCAACTTTATTCTAGAGTATTATAACTTCATTACTTTGTTCTTTAATCTAGTATCGAAGGATATTTTGTAACATCTAAACATATTCAAATAACTTTTAGGTCAATTTAAAACTTATTTAGAATAAAAAACCCAGCACAGGGGGGTCGCAACACAGTGGTGACGTCGCATAGTTGGATCAAGTATAATGATATCTGACAGTGATTAAAATCACTATAAAAAAAAAACGCTTCGATGCAAATCTTTAGATAGTGTTTAATTTTAAAAAATTGGTGGATTATTCCAAAAGCTACATGATCTGCTAGTTCATTATTAATATCCTAATTAAGATAAAGTATGTCGAATGAAAAAGGGATTATTAAAAAATATTATTTCTTATAAAAAAATAATGTTGATCCATTATTATAGCATTATAAAGTTAAAAATGTAAAAAATAAAATCGAGAATTTTCACATAATAATAGCATTTGGTAGCCATTTTCACCGTGAAGATAAAATAAAGTCCGAAATTTTTTTTTTGCATAATAAAGTATATTACATTAGCTTTAATTTAAGATATATATAAAAGTGTCAGACCTTCCGGAACACTTTCAAAATTTAAGTTAAAAAAATTAATTTTTTGTGAAAAAGTTGTCATTTTGAATCCCCCCCTGTAGGCAGGTAAAAAGTCAGATTTATAAAAAAAATATACCAAATGATAGGTAAAGACATCATGCATCTACAAAAAAAAGAATTATATTGATCCATACATCTTTCGAGAAGTTATAGCATTATAAAGTTAAAAATATAAAAAAGAAATTTTTTACAAAAATCGTATTTTTTTAATTTACTTTGATGACTGTTTTCACTATGAAAACAAAATAATGTCCGACATTTTTTTTTTTCATGATAAAGTATATTACATTAGCTTTAATTTAAGATATATATAAAAGTGTCAGACCTTCCGGAACACTTTCAAAAGTTAAGTTGAAAAAGTTCTACTTTCTATATGCATTTTTATGTTTTGAATCCCCCCTGTATTTAGGGAAATGGTCCGATTTAAAAAAACAGTATGTCGAATGAAAGATCTATATAAATACTACTTCTCATAAAAAAATTGTAATGATTCATACATTTTTCAAAAAGTTATAGCATAATAAAGTTAAAAATGGAAAATACAAAATCGAAAATTTTCACACAAAAATAGCATTCGGTAGCCATTTTCACCATGAAGATAAGATAAAGTCCGAAATTTTTTTTTTTCATGATAAAGTATATTACATTAGCTTTAATTTAAGATATATATAAAAGTGTCAGACCTTCCGGAACACTTTCAAAAGTTAAGTTGAAAAAATTAATTTTTTGTAAAAAAGTTGTCATTTTGAATCCCCCCCTGTAGGCAGATAAAAAGTCAGATTTATAAAAAAAATATACCAAATGATAGGTAGAGACATCATGCATCTATAAAAAAAATAATTATATTGATATGTTCGTTTTTAAAAATGTTACGGCAGTTTTTAGTAAAAAAAATTGAAAAAATTTCGAAAATTTGCGATTTTTAAATTTGTAATTTTTTCGGAGGTTTCCCCCATTTACGGCGAACGAGGGAAATTTTTTCAATTTTTAAGGGTAATGTCTTCGACAAGATACGATTTGTGATCTTTTGACGTATCATTGAAAGAAATCGGTTCGGTGAGAGCTGAGAAAAAGTGGTAACAGACAAAAAAAAAAAAAAAAAACAAATCTTAGTAAAACCAATACCTTCTCAGCTTCGCAACGAAGCTAAAATAGTAGTAATGTTAAGAATTAGGGATAATTTACCATTTACTTTTTGCGTATCTCCTTCATTGAAAATTTGTATCAAATTTATATCAGAATTTTGTGCGATATCTAAATATGTTAACAACAAATTATTTCAAATAAATGTAACATTGCATAAATAGTTATACCTTGCTTGACATTGGTAGGTGGTAGAGCAGGTAAAAAAGTCTGACTTGTGTTCCAGTCAAATTTAAATCCAAGTTCAATATACTTATTCATGATTGTCGTTAGGATTAAATTTCTAATTTTATCACTAAGAAAAATGAAAAGTTCTTGACATTTTCCTTGATATCTTAATTTGTTGAATTCTGTATTCCATGAATTCCATAATGAATTAAAACCTAAGTGTTTTAGCAGACAAAATAAATTATTTTCATCAATTTTAAGACGCCTTGCGGTTAATAGTTTCGCGATAGTCTCTAGTTTATCTCTAATTGAATCCGAACTGATTCTCAACGTAAACAATAAAGTTTCATCTTCCAGTATTTGTGTTAGTAAACTGCTTAAAATAAAAGGGGTTCTTTTTTGGATGTTCCAGGGAATAGTATGATATTTTTCTATAGCATATAAAGCTCCATTCATAAATTTTGCCATTGGAACAATTTCTCTCATTTGTGTTAAAAGTGTGACCGTACAAATGTGTGCACTATCATCGCCAGAATTTAATAGATCAAAACAATGTTGTTGAAATTTAATTAATGATAAGTATATTAAATTTAAATCATAATAGTAAGAACATCCAAGAAACAACGTTGCTTGCCGTATGCAATTATCACAATTGTATAATGTTACAGGTTCAATAAATAAATCTTTCAATTCATAGTTTTTGCCCCAATACTTAATTAATCTGACATCATTTATATTATACCATCCTGGTTGATGTAAAAAATTTTTAATGATAGCTGCGGTTTCTTTGTTACTATGTGTTCCTTCTGTATGTAAAATAGCGAAAAATATACATAAATACACTTGAATATTTAGTATTATTGCGATATTCATTTTCGAAAAATTATCTATGTATTTTTGTATATCTATCTTTTTATTAAAAAAACGAATTATCATAAAAAATTTATTTCAATAGAATTTATATTAGATATTAATAAAGTTTTTTATTTACTAAAATTATATTTTATATATTATTTTTATATACTAAAATAAAAAAATAGCAAAAAATACCGACTGAGTACACAGGTACAGATAAGTAAACAAAATTAATTTATGTGATTGGGAAGAGGATCTGGATTGTCCCGTTTGAAACATTGCGTGGACATTTTAAACGTTGNATCTGGATTGTCCCGTTTGAAACATTGCGTAGAAATTTTAAACGTTGTAGAAATAAATTGTATTAACACTCATAATATGACTAGTAATGCAATGTAAATATTATAATAGTATTATAAAATATACTTTTTATTTATTAACACTTTTTAACGATTGTTATTAAGACATTCCAACTTGTATCAGTTTTTATTTATAAACATACTACATAATGATGAACAAATAGCATACAAATATATTATAGCTAAATTAAACAAAAAATTTTTAATATTATTTTATAAAAAAAAAAAATCAGTTTAGCAATGTGTACATATCTTTATGTGCATATGAATAAGTGTGGCAAAAATATATCGATCATAGAAATTTTAATGAGAATCATTTTAACTATATAGTTTAATAGTTAACTATATAGTTTTATAGTTAACTATATAGTTTTATAGTTAACTATATAATATTATATACATCAAAATAGGTATTTTATGAATATTTGATATTTTTAAAAACAATTTTACTAGTCACTCAACGTTTTTTTAGTATTTTGACTAAAAGTACCCCGAAAAACTTATACCACTTTTGCTTTGATGCAAAGCTGAGATGGTATTAATTTTACTATGATGTTTTTGTTTATTTATTTATTTTTATTTTGTGTCTGTTACCACTTTTTTCAGCTCTCACCGAATCGATTTCTTTCAACGATACGGCAAAAGATTATAAATCGTATCTAGTCGAAGACATTACCCTCATAAATTGAAAAAAATTCCCTCGTTCCCCGTAAATGGGGGAAATTTCCAAAACAATTACAAATTTAAAAATTGCTTATTTTCGAAAATTTTTCAATTTTCTTTAAATTAACAAATTAATATAATTTTTTTTTCTTATAGATGCTTGATGAAAAAAAATATACCAAATAATAGGTATATTTTTTTTATAAATTTAACTCTTTAACAGCCCACAGGGGGTGATTCAAAATGACAACTTTTTCACAAAAAATTAACTTTTTCAACTTAACTTTTGTAAGTGTTCCGGAAGGTCTGACACTTTTATATACATCTTAAATTAAAGCTAGTGTAATATACTTTATTATGGAAAAAAAAATGTCTTTATTTTATTTTCATGGTGAAAATGGCTACCGTATGCTATTTTTGTGTTAAAATTCTTGATTTTATATTTTACATTTTTAACTTTAAAACGTTATAACTTTTTGAAAAATGTATGGATCAATACAATTTTTTTATAAAAAATATTATTTATATACTTCTTTCATTCGACATACTTTTTTTTTAAATCGGAATATTTCACTTAATACAGGGGGGTTCAAAACATAAAAATGCATATAGAAAGTAGAACTTTTTCTACTTAATTTTTGAAAGTGTTCCGGAAATACTGACACTTTTATATATATCTTAAATTAAAGCTTACGTAGTATACTTTAATATTAAAAAAAAAATGTCGGACTTTATTTTGTTTTCATAGTGAAAACAGTCATCAAAGTAAATTAAAAAAATACGATTATTGTAAAAAATTCTTTTTTATATTTTTAACTTTATAATGGTATAAATCTTTGAAAAATGTATCGATCAATACAATTTTTTTATGAGAAACAATATTTTTTTATAATCCATTTTTCATTCAGGATATTAATAAGAAAATAGCAGATCATGTAGCTTTTGGAATAATCCACTAATTTTTTAAAATTAAACACTATCTAAAGATTTGCATCGAAGCGTTTTTTTTATAGTGATTTTAATCACTGTCAGATATCATTATACGTTATCTTTCGTTCATTTCTTACANTCGTTCAAATGACCCGTTCATATAACTCGTTCTTTCGTTCATTTCTTACGATCGGTCACGGTTCTTATCAATTACTCCTTACTATGGTTTTCCTGAACGAGTCGTTCAAATTCGCATTTTCACCATGTAACATTACCGTGATATCAGAATTTTTACTGATAATACACTTGTATAATCGGGTTATATATTATTTTTTCAAATACAAATTACTTGAAATAACATAATATGCTGTTATACACGAATATTTTTGTATAGAATAAAAACAAATAATTTATACTAGCGGATGAGTTGCGGTACATAAATCCATAGAATTTGTTTCTATAATAAGCGAAATCATTTAAATTATTTGTTTTCATAAAAGGAGTTTTATAGAGAAATTAATTCACCTAAATCAGATATTACAATTTACAGCAGCTATGACCAGATTATAAAAGAGTGAGGTGGTTTAATACCTCTCACAACAATTATATTAGTCTAATAGTCAATTTTTGTCCTAGTTGATAAATTCAATAATTCATAGACCTATTTTCGCTTATAAATAATTATATGAATGTAATATTTATGAAATAAATAGCTATATATTAATAATCAAAATTGTTCTTCAAATGAACAATATAGTAGAATACTTGAAATAATCTAACTATATTAAACCTGCACGATTATGTTAGTAGAAACATGTCACAACTTTGAAAATTTAGTCTGCAGATCTGCAATAAAAATGTTTTTATCACAAACCAAATAGTGTTGCTTTTAAACTCTCATTGGCAATAAGTATTTTTTTATTTAATTTTTTAAAAAAACATTATAAGTATATACTTATAAAGAATATATTCTTCGTTTTTTTTTTAAATTTTTATATTATAAGAATATAAGGTTAGGCATAGGTTTTAACCGAAGTGCAGGTAAACGTTTAGTAAATGAACGAATCATGAAACAGTGTGTCCGATATATTGCGTGAAACGAACGAACGAATGAACGATATCTATTTTAGCTTCGATGCGAAGCTGAGAAGGTATTGGTTTTACTATGATGTGTTTTTTTTTTTTTTTTTTTTTTTTTTTTTTTTTTT